AAAGTGGAATTGAAGCCAAGGTGAGATCAGCCGTGATCATCTCAAATTGGCAGAGCAAACTTGGGGCTGAATTGTATACTCCTGCTCCAAGTTCTTAAATTCTTTAAGTTGAAGTGATTAACAATAAGGACCTTTAAATGACATGAGCAACTGAACAAGACAGTTGGGCTGGTTTTGGGATGCGGTAGGGGGAGGGGAGATTTTGAAGCTTGTGAAATCCACATTGATACCATTGGGCTGCAGGGTTCCCAAGCAGAATATGCGTTGCTGTTCCTGCAACCTTCAGGTGGCATCGTTGTGGCACTGCAGGAGGCCCACGATGGAAATGTCATCTGGAGGAATGGGAGGGGGAGTTGAAATGGTTCGCAACTGGGAGGTGCAGTTGTTTATTGCAGACCGAATGTAGGTGTTCTGCAAAGCGGTCCCCAAGCCTCCGCTTGGTTTCCCCGATGTAGAGGAGGCCACAACGGGTACAGCAGATGCAGCATACCACATCAGCAGATGTGCAGGTGAACATCTGCTTGATGTGGAAAGTCTTCTTGGGGCCTGGGATGGGGGTGAGGAAGGAGGTATGGGGGCAGGTGTAGCACTTCCTGCAGTTGCAGGGAAAAGTGCCAGGTGTGGTGGGGCTGGAGGGGAGTGTGGAGCAGACAAGGGAGTCACAGAGAGAGTGGTCCCTCCGAAAGCAGATAAGGGTGGGGGAGGGAAAAAGTGTCTTTGGTGGGGTCGGATTGCAGATGGCGGAAGTGTCGGAGGATGATGCGTTGGATCCGGAGGTTGGTGGGATGGTACGTGAGGACGAGGGACATTCTTTTTTGGTTGTTATTGTGGGGACGGGGTGTGAGGGATGAGTTGCGGGAAACGCGGGAGACACGGTCGAGGGCGTTCTCGACCACTGAGGGGGGGGAAGTTGTGATCCTTGAAAAACGAGGACATCTGAGATGTACGGGAGTGGAATGCCTCATCCTGGGAGCAGATGTGGCGGAGGCGAAGGAATTGGGAATAGGGGATGGCATTTTTGCAGGAAGGTGGGTGGGAGCAGGTGTATTCCAGGTAGCTGTGGGAGTCGGTGGGCTTCAAATGGATATCGGTTTCTAGGAATACAGTCATCAATGTAACGGATGAAGAGGTGAGGTTTAGGGCCAGTGTAGGTACGGAAGAGGGATTGTTCCACGTAACCTACAAAGAGGCAGGCGTAGCTCGGGCCCATGCGGGTACCCATGGCCACCCGCTTTGTCTGTAGGAAGTGGGAGGAATTGAAAGAGAAGTTGTTGAGGGTGAGGACGAGTTTGGCTAATCGGATGAGGGTGTCAGTGGAGGGGGACTGGTCAGGCCTGCGGGTCAGGAAGAAGCGGAGGGCCTTTAGGCCATCTGTATGGGGAATGCAGGTGTATAGGGACTGGACGTCCATGGTAAAGATGAGGTGTTGGGGACCAGGAAATTGGAAGTTCTGGAGGAGGTGGAGGTCCCCGTCCCCAACACCTCTTCTTTACCATGGACGTCCAGTCCCTATACACCTGCAATCCCCATACAGATGGCCTAAAGACCCTCCGCTTCTTCCTGTCCCGCAGGCCCGACCAGTCCCCCTCCACTGACACCCTCATCCGCTTAGCCGAACTCGTCCTCACACTCAACAACTTCTCTTTCAATTCCTCCCACTTCCTACAGACAAAGGGGGTAGCCATGGGTACCCGCATGGGCCCAAGCTATGCCTGCCTCTTTGTAGGTTACGTGGAACAATCCCTCTTCCGTACCTACACTGGCCCTAAACCCCACCTCTTCATCCGTTACATTGATGACTGTATCGGCGCCGCCTCGTGCTCCCACGAGGAGCTCGAACAGTTCATCCACTTCACCAACACCTTCCACCCCAACCTTAAGTTCACCTGGACCATCTCTAATACCTCTCTCACCTTCCTGGACCTCTCTGTCTCCATCTCGGGCAACCACCTGGAAACCGATATCCATTTGAAGCCCACCGACTCCCACAGCTACCTAGAATACACCTCCTCCCACCCACTTTCCTGCAAAAATGCCATCCCCTATTCCCAATTCCTTCGCCTCTGCCGCATCTGCTCCCAGGATGAGGCATTCCACTCCTGTACATCTCAGATGTCCTGGTTTTTCAAGGACCGCAACCTCCACCCCCCCACCCCCCTCAGTGGTCGAGAACGCCCTCCACCGTGTCTCCCGCATTTCCCGCAACTCATCCCTCACACCCCGTCCCCACCATAACAACCAAAAAAGAATGCCCCTCGTCCTCACGTACCACCCCATCATCCTCCGACACTTCCGCCATCTGCAATCCGACCCCACCACCAAAGACATTTTTCCCTCCCCACCCTTTTATCTGCTTTCCGGAGGGACCACTCTCTCCGTGACTCCCTTGTCCGCTCCACACTTCCCTCCAGTCCCACCACACCCGGCACTTTTCCCTGCAACCGCAGGAAGTGTTACACCTGCCCCCACACCACCTCCCTCACCCCCATCCCAGGCCCCAAGAAGACTTTCCACATCAAGCAGATGTTCACCTACACATCTGCCAATGTGGTATACTGCATCCGCTGTACCCGTTGTGGCCTCCTCTACATCGGGGAAACCAAGCGGAGGCTTGGGGACCGCTCTGTAGAACACCTACGCTTGGTCCGCAATAAACAACTGCACCTCCCAGTCGCAAACCATTTCAACTCCCCCTCCCATTCCTCAGACGACATGTCCATCGTGGGCCTCCTGCAGTGCCACAACGATGCCACCCAAAGGTTGCAGGAACAGCAACTCATATTCCGCTTGGGAACCCTGCAGCCCAGTGGTATCAATGTGGATTTCACAAGTTTCAAAATCTCCCCTCCCCCTATCACATCCCAAAACCAGTCCAGCTCGTCCCTGCCTCCCTAACCGGTTCTTCCTCCCAGCTATCCCCTCCTCCCTCCTCAAGCCGCACCCCCATCTCCTACCTACTAACCTCATCCCGCCCCCTTGACCTGTCCGTCCTCCCTGGACTGACCTATCTCCTCCCTACCTCGCCACCTAAACTCGCCTTTACTGGCTCCATCCCCGCCTCTGACCTGTCTGTTTCCTCTCCATCTATCTTCTCCTCTATCCATCTTCTATCCGCCTCCCCCTCTCTCCCTATTTATTTCAGAACCTCCTTCCCCTCCCCCATTCTGATGAAGGGTCTCGGCCCGAAACGTCAGCCTTCCTGCTCCTGTGATGCTGCTTGGCCTGCTGTGTTCATCCAGCCCCTACACCTTGTTATCTCAGATTCTCCAGCATCTGCAGTTCCTACTATCTCTGAATAAGACAGTTGACTGCAGATAGGACAGTGTTGGCAGCCAAATATTTCAGCCAATGATATTCTAATAAAGGCTATGGAAAGAATAAGGAGCAGTGTTGGGCAAGCTGTTTTCATCAGAAAAGTCAGAATTATACAGCATATAACTATTGAAGTGAAATAGCATTCTCACGAAATGACTTAAATCTTCAACCATCAAATAGTTGGGGGAAAAATGATATTCAAAAATGATTTTAAGAATATAGAATCAGTATAATGCACAATTTCAGTATCAGGGAGAAAGAGTACAGGTGGAGAAGGAGATAAAGCTTTTAATTGTATGTTCAAATGTCTTTCCTGTCCCGATATTTTTGATCTACTTACAGTCCCAGAAATCTTGAAACTGTTGCATAATTTAATAAGACGCAGTCACAACTTCACCTCCACTCCCTTAGGTGCCTCTTTTAATGCTGGGATCTTGTGGAGATCAATTAATTACCTAACACAGCCTTAAATACATTCCATGACCCAGGTCCACTATTCTTTACTCGGAGAGTTTCAAATATGAATGCCCTTCAAGAGAAGGAATTTCTTATCATCTCTAACGTAGTTCAAAGACAGAAATATATTGGAATAAAATGTGGTTGAGGATAGAGATATGGAAGCAAATAATCCACAAAGTTGTAAATCAGCAGTGACTGATATTTCAAGAAAAAAATCTGTAGAGTTGAGGAGAAGAACTCCTTCCCCTGCCAAAACCCCTTTCCAATCCTGCTCATTCTTTCTTCCTCAGTTGACAGTATTTCATAAAAGCTGCTTCTGAAAAATGGAGGTGAGAATGCATTAGATATCCTACTTACTTAACTCAAGTTTTCTGGCCAGCACTTGTCCCTGAACTTTCCCTCCTTCAAACCCACCTCCTAAGAAAATGCTTCCCCACTCTCATCTGACATCTATGTTCGCACAGTTTTCACTTCAGCTTATTTGACAGTAATTTTGCACCGTGACTCTGCCTTGTTCTGTTTTTTACTTCCTTCCCCATTCCACAGAACAAGGGTGGTTATGGTGACCTATTCCATCATGACAAAAGATCAGATAAAGGCAAGTCGAAATCTTACCTTTCTTGGTCTACTATACATTGATTCCTTTGCTACCCTTGTAAAACGGGATTTCTTAAAATTTTATCTGTTTACTATTCATTTTCGGATATCCATTCTTCAAAACGTTTTCAAATCAGATCAACCACTGATTCCAAATAAATCTGAATTGAGATGATTGTAAAGTAGGAGTTCAAGATTTGTTACTTATGTATCTATTATTTTTAATTATTTGCAAGTGTAGCAGATTAATTGAGGTTTCAATCAAGCGCATATAAAGAGGCACTGAAGGCTCTTCTGGCACAGTGTTCCTTCTGAGCAAGAACGTCTGGGTTTAAGTCCCACCTTACCTGGAGTTGTATTATAATTTGTCCGAACAGGTTAATTAAAAATAATTTATAAAGAGGTGCTTATGAAAACTGGTGCGATTGGATTTAAAGTGAATACAATTGTAATGTTTATGTAAATGTAAGACAGAGTGAAGATTAACTCTTATATCATTTTTTCTTCAACAAGCTTTTAGGATATAATGAAATAAATAATTTGGAATAGGAGATTCCTCTTTATTCTTTTTACTAATTTTTATAAAATTTTTAACCGGATGTTTTATTTTTATTTGTATTTACCAGAAGATGCCTTCACCCATCAGCCTACCTCCTCACGTGCAAAAAGCAGGACCACTTGTATCCACTTCTCCCATATCTAGCCCACATAAGTTGGACAGTCAACAACAAAGGCAACCAGTAGAGAATCAAGGACTGTTGGCTGAGGAGCCTCCTTTGCACCTCTTCAGCCACTTGCCTCTTCATTCTCAACAGCAGGTCAAGACAACACGCAGCATGATCCCTGTGGGTGGCATCCAGTTAGGTTTAATGGCATACTCCACTTTTGTACCAATCCAGACAAGACCAATGCAACTTACTGCTGTTAACATTTTTCATCAGTCTACAAGCCCTTTTTACAAAGATACAATGGAAACAACTGGTAATACAAAGCCTTTGGATATTCCAGAAGAAAATAAACTTCTGCCATGTATTCCTTTGGAACAAAAAAACCTTGCTGACTTGCAAAGTACTAGTAGTTCAGATTTTGAAACCATAAACACTTTGGGCCAAGAAACATTAAACCTTTTAGGTTTGGCAAGTTCAAATATAGGCCCAAAAATGTGCCCTTCAAGCCTTTCAGTTAATGCTGTTGGTCTCCAAGTGTTGACCACAAATCCACAGACTCAAAGTATACCATGCTTTCAAGCTCCTGTTTCAGGAGTGCAAATCATGAAACTGTCTACTCTCATTCCATCTGTCACTACAGGAACAGAAGGCCAAACAAGTAATGAGATGCACTGTACAACCAAACCTTGTGCCAATAGGACTGAATGGACCCCAGCTAGTCTTCCTGTTACAGTAAATGATAATAAGGTGACCTGTGTACTGTTCTCTCAGCTTTCACCTCAAATTGAGGCATGTGCCCTGAAGGAGTTGTCAGATGCAACGGACTGGAAATATGGACAACCAAATAAAATAGACAATGCAGAAGGCTGTTCCAGTAAAACCAGCTTTCAAGAGGCACACAATACCAAAACAGCTCCTGGGGTGCTGACAGACTCTGAATTGGGACACTTAAAGGTGAACACTGAAGCAGTGAGTAAATCTCCTGATCAAACCCTTCTTCCAGAAAATAACAGTGGAAAGCCTGTGGCAACTGTGCGAGCTACTGTGCATTACAGTGATGTCAGCAGTGATGATGAAGACAGGCTAGTGATAGCAACATAATTTTTGCAGGACCCTTTTTAAATAGCTGTCACTTGTCCTTTTAAAAAGAAACCATACTGTATGATTTCTTACTAAACAAGCTCTTTTCCATAAAAGCACATTTTTTGATGTAGATATTATGTTTTGTGCAATTGTAAACCAGGATCAATTCAGTTTTATTGTTCTTTGTCCGCTCCAGCCATTTTTGTACATGTTGTAAAAACAATTGTGCCTTTCAGATTTCTTGTTTAGGAACTGTACACATGATAAATGTAGAAAAAAGTAGTTGCTTGTGCTTACTAATTTAAAAAAAAAAAAAATACAATGTGTAGTGTCATAGTAAGGAAAATAACTACATGTTGCACTGATATTGTAAATTTCTATGGCTATGGGGCAGTCTTTTGTGTACAGGCATAAACTGTATACCAGTTCATATTTATTGTATTCATTTTTTTGGTCCATGATCAGTTCTTTCTTGCTGGGAGTAGGTTTACATTCAGGCAAACTATCTCTCCAGAATAAACAAAAATCATAAAGTATTTGATCACAGAATTTGCATATTCTTATCTGATATTCCAGGAAATCCAGTGTTATATCCATATCCAGCAAGAGAAGGGAAAAAGAAGCCTGTCGCAATGGGTGGAATGGCTCATTCTTCAATAAGCTTCTAGCTTCCCCCTGTGCATTTCTCGGCATTCTCTGCTGAGCCAGTTATGGCATTTGCACTACGTCCCTAAAGGAATCAAAGGATATAGGGAGGAAGTGGGAAAATGGTACACATTAGCCACTGGCGAAGTCCTAGAGGACTGACAAGTAGCTAATGTTGATCCTCTATTCACGAAGGGAAATAGGGATAATCCAGGAAACTACAGACCAGTGAGTCTCTCATCGGTGGTCAGGAAGCTATTGGAGAGAATTCTTAGGAATAGGATTTACGTGCATATGGAAAATCATGACCTAATTAGGGACAGTCAGCATGGCTTTGTGCAGGGCAGGCCATGTCTTACTAACTTTATTAAAATTTTTGAGGAGGTGACAAAGGTGATTGATGAGGGTAGAACAGTGAATGGTGTCTACATGGATTTTAGTGAGGCTTTCAACAAGGTCCATTATGGTAGGCTCATCCAGAAGATTAAGATGCATGGGATCCATGGTGACTTGGCCGCGTGGATTCAGAATTGGCTTGCCCATAGAAGGTAGAGGGTAGTGGTGGAAGATTGTTTTTTAGGCTGGAGGTCTGTGACTAGTGGTGTCCTGCAGGGATCCATACTGGGACCTCTGGTGTTTGTGATATATATATGAATGACTTGGGTGAAAATGTAGATGGGTAGGTTAGTACGTTTACATACAATACAAAAATAAGTAGAGTTGTGGATAGTGTAGAAGGTTGTCAAAGGATACAGCGGAATGCAGTTATGAGCAGAGAAATGGCAGACTGAGTTTAATCCGTGTGAGGTGCTGCACTTTAGGAAATCAAATGTTAAGGGAAAGTGTACAGTTAATGGCATGACCCTGAACAGCATTAATGTACAGAGGGATCTTGGGGTTCAAATCCATAGCTCTCTGAAAGTGGCAGTGCTAGTAAATAGGGTGGTAAAGAAGCTGTATGACTTACGAGACAACAAGGTGACACAGCAGGCCAAGCAGCATCATAGGAGCAGAGAGGCTGACGTTTTGGGCCTAGACCCTTCTTCAGAAAAGGGGGAGGGGAAGGGGGTTCTGAAATAAATAGGGAGAGAGTGGGAGGTGGATAGAAGATGGATAGAGGAAAGGATAGGTGGAGAGGAAACAGACAGGTCAGAGGCGGGGATGGAGCCAGTAAAGGTGAGTGTAGGTGGGGAGTTAGGAAGGGGATAGGTCAGTCCAGGGAGGACGGACAGGTCAAGGGGGCGGGATGAGGTTGGTCGGTAGGAGATGGAGGTGCGGCTTGAGGTGGGAGGAGGGGATAGGTGGGAGGAAGAACAGGTTAGGGAGGCAGGGACGAGCTGGACTGGTTTTGGGATGCGGTAGGGGGAGGGGAGATTTTGAAACTTGTGAAGTCCACATTGATACCATTGGGCTGCAGGGTTCCCAAGCGGAATATGCGTTGCTGTTCCTGCAACCTTTGGGTGGCATCGTTGTGGCACTGCAGGAGCCCCAGGATGGACATGTCGTCTGAGGAATGGGAGGGGGAGTTGAAATGGTTCGCAACTGGGAGGTGCAGTTGTTTATTGCGAACCGAGCGTAGGTGTTCTGCAAAGTGGTCCCCGAGCCTCCGCTTGGTTTCCCCGATGTAGAGGAAGCCACACCGGGTACAGCGGATGCAGTATACCACATTGGCAGATGTGCAGGTGAATATCGGAGGATGATGCGTTGGATCCGGGGTGGTACGTGAGGACGAGGGGGATTCTTTTTTGGTTCTTATTGGACGGGGTGTGAGGGATGAGTTGCGGGAGATGTGGGAGACACGGTTGAGGGCGTTCTCGACCACCAAGGGGGGAAGTTACGGTCCTTGAAAAACGAGGACAACTGAGATGTACGGGTGCCTTTATTAGTCTGGAAATTGAGTACAAGAGTCAGGATGTCATGTTGCAGCCTTATAAGACTTTGGTTAGACCACATTGAGAGTATTGAATTCAGTTCTAGTCACCACAGTATAGAAAGGATGTGGAGGGCTTGGAGAGGGTGCAGAAGACGTTTGCCAGGATTAGAGAGTATGAACTATTGGGAGAAGCTAGAAAAACTTGGGTTGTTTTCCCTGGAGCAGCAGAGGCTGTGCAGAGACTTGATGAAGTCTGTAAAATTATGAAATGCATAGATACGATTGGCAGTCAGAATCTTTTTTCCCAGAATTGAAATATCTAAACCTAGGGGGTATGCATTTAAGCTAAGAGGGGGAAAGTACAAAGGAGATGCGAGGGGAAAGTTTTTTTTACACAGAGTGGTGGGAGTATGGGATATGCTGCCAGGGATGGTAGTGGAGGCAGATATGAAAGGGGCATTTAAGAGACTTTTGGGTAAGTACATGAATATGCAAGGAATGGAGGAATGTGAACCAAGCGCAGGCAGAAGGGATTAATTTAATTTTGTGTAGTGTTCGGCACAACATCGTGAACCAAAGGGTCTGCTCCTGAGCTGTACAGTTCTAAGTTGAATGATCAGCCATTATCTTGTTGAATGGCAAAGCAGGCTTAAAGGGCTGAATGGGCTACTCCTGCTCCTATTTTATGTCTTTCCATTTAAAGATTGTTATAGCCTTCAGATATTTTCGGACACATATTATGCTGTTCTTTTTGCTGCAGACGCAGACCTTATTAAAGTTGCCTTGGGAAGGTGCTTGCTGTCATATGGTCAGTACAGTTCCCTTTCTTTATTACTAAGTATGGTTTCTTGAAGTGCAAAACACACCTTTCAACTCCATTCTTCTTTGTGATTAAGTAATTGATTACATTTTTGGTTAATAGAACTAATTTGACTTCACCAGCAGTCTGGACAGTGACCAGAGAGGGATGAGGAAATGCTCAAGGAGTAATTTTTAAGGAATAATTTAACATAATTTAGTTTGAGGGCTAATTTAAACCTAAAGTCTAGTCCATTCTTTAGTGCAGTTTAATTGCAGCTTTAAAACAGAAATTTATAGGTAGCTGAAGCTAGTTAATTAGACAATCAATTAATACAGTTTCAGATGCCTTTGAATTTGGGGCTGTAAAGAAAGACCTTGTTAGTGCAGCCTTGCCTCCACTAGAGTACTGCTTCGTTACATTGGAGTGTAACTGGAGTTAGGTAAAACCGAGAGGAGGTAGTCAGTCCCTTTTTTTCTCATTGCTGAGCACTTCTCTTTAATATTAACATAAGGTCTTAGAGGATTTGGATCATAAAGGGAAAGAGGGGCTGGTGGGGGAGGAGCTGAGACTGAGCAAGAAATAAAAATCAAGGCCTTTATACTTGCCTGGGAGCCCAGAGAGAGAGGAGTTCGCAGAGTGGGAGACAGGGAGATCAGAAACAGTAGGGGAAAAATAACTTACATCCCAGGAAAAAGCTGTAAGTTCATTGACTGTTAAGTAATTGCTAATTTGAATACCTAATCTAACTTTCCTTCAAATTAAAGGTAAATCAAAGAAATATTTTATAGACTTGGAGGCAGACATAAACTGTAGGTTAAGTATCTCAAACTTTGCCAGTGGTCAGGGATAGCAGGGTGTAAATGAAGCAGGTAGAGACATCCTGAATTTAGCATTGGAGGAGCCTCAGCTCTCAACCTTGTCCAACAGTTATGAGGTACTTGCTCCCTAGGGAAATAGTGTCTGACTAATTTATTAGAGGTTTTTGAGGAAGTCTCAAGTAGAGTAGATAGAGGGGAACCAGTAAATGTGTTGTATTTGGACTTCCAGGAGGCATTTGACAAGGTAGGATGCCCCTGGTTCAGAGATAGTAGGAACTGCCGATGCTGGAGAATCTGAGGTAACAAAGTGTAGAGCTGGATGAACACAGCAGGCCAAGCAG